TCAGTCACCTCAGCCACCTAGGGCTTCGGGTCAACTGGGAAAAGAGCAAACTCACCCCCGGGCAGAGGATCTCTTTTCTCGGTATGGAGTTGGACTCGATCAACATGACAGCTCGCCTCGCCGAGGCCCGCGTCCAGTCAGTGTTGAACTGTGTGAGCACGCTCAGACGCAGAACAGCGGCACCACTGAAACTATTTCAGAGGCTCCTGGGGCATATGGCATCTGCAGCCACGGTAACGCCGCACGGATTGCTTCATATGAGACCGCTCCAACGCTGGCTCCACGATCGAGTCCCGAGATAGATGGGCGTGGCAGAGCGGCTCGTGCCGGGTCCAAATAACCCCGCACTGTCGCCAAACTCTCAGCTTGTGGTCGGACCCTTCGTTCCTACGGGCAGGTGTTCCCCTAGAACAAGTGTCCAGGCACTCTGTGGTCACCACGGATGCCTCTGCCACCGGCTGGGGGGGCCACGTACAACGGGCATGCAGCTTCAGGTCTGTGGACGGGGCCTTGACTGCATTGGCACATCAACTGCCTCGAGTTGTTAGCAGTACATCTTGCGCTGGGCCGCTTCAAAACGTTGCTACAAGGCAAGCATGTACTGGTCCGTACGGACAACACTGTGACCGTTGCGTACATCAACCGTCAGGGTGGTCTACGCTCCCGCCGCATGTCAAAACTCGCCCGCCATCTCCTCCTTTGGAGTCAGAAGCATCTGAGGTCGCTTCGTGCCGCTTACATTCCGGGCCTGCTCAACCGTGCAGCCGACGAGCTCTCACGGCAGCAGGTAGATCTGTTTGCCACCCGGACACGTCTCACTGCCAGTTGTTCTATTCTCTGACCGAGGGGACCCTCGGCACAGATGCTCTGGCACACAGCTGGCCCCAGGGTCTTCGCAAGTATGCGTTTCCCCCAGTGAGCCTTCTGGCACAGACCTTGTGCAAAGTCAGGGAGGACGAGGAGCAGGTCTTGTTAGTTGCGCCGTATTGGCCCAACCGGACCTGGTTCCCGGAACTAGTGCTCCTCGCGACAGCCCCTCCCTGGCCCATCCCTCTGAGAGAGGACCTGCTCTCTCGACCAAAGTTTGCATATACGCGCGTGACGCGTTCACGCACGCCAACGTTCATTGGCTTGTTCTTTAGATACTCGAAGTTGATAGGGCTCCCTGAAGTGATCCCCTAATGTCGTCACGTCGACATCACGTCTCCCGTTCCTCCTTCAGGGAACGAGGGTTACATCAGTAACCGAGACGTCTCATATCTTTATCATTAATCTGCATGTATACATAAAAACCTATTAACTATTGGGAGAATCAATATGAAGCATGAAAAAGTTTCTAAAAGTTGCCAATAAATTAATATTGTGATGTGAAATTATTTTTCAGATTGAAGTTATAAAGGGCTCTGGGTTTTTTTTTGCCAGGCAGAAGCGTGGAAAGCAGCCCGCTTTGCCACCTCTGCTACTGCCATGGTGCGGAATCTGCTGCTGGGCACCTTTGATATGCAAACTTTGCTGAAAAGCATCCTGAATGGTACAAAACAACATGTTCCTAATCTCTTCTGTCCTTGAAAAAAAAAAAACAAGTCCGTCATATTCTGTGGAATAAATTATGTTTGTGTGCGGGCATACCATCGCTTTTTTACTTGGCATTTTTGTATTTCCTTTCACCTCAAGAAAACGTGATGTGTATATAAAAAAACTCTTGCTTTCTCCACCTTCATTTTACCCCCCTTTCATAATAATTTTGAAATATTACTTTAAGGTGGGAAGCCAACCAGAGGGGATGGGGAGCAGCTGGTCGCCCTTGACCAAGTCAAAAAGGCAGCCATTATTGATGAGTAAATGCATAATGCGTTGAGAAGGGAAAACAAAACTTTAAAGACTTTATAAGTTCACCACTTTAACCATAGCCTACTTGTATCAATGTTTATTAGGGATCAATGAAGACTGCATAAGGTAGGGCACACATTATTTGTATCTGCTTGGCACCATACTAATTCATCGCTTGCTCACTTCTTGATCCTATCTTTCCTCTTCTAAAGCCACATTTCTGGGGTATTGCGCTGTAAGGTGTGTAGTCCTCTATTTAGTAGAACATATAGTGTTGCAAATAACCTCATGGCATATTGTTGTCGTCTGAAGTGTTAATAAATAATCATATTCACCCCTCCTTCACCCTTAATCCCCTCTGTCCTGTGTTTGTGCCGTATGTTGTCTATACCGGTAATTGATTTGCTTGATTTTAATGCATATCTTATTGCTCTTCGAGTAAACCTAGCATGGCAGCTCGCCGGTGGAATGTGTGTGTGTGTGAATGGGTCAATGGGGGGCCACTGTAAAGTATTTTGGGTACTGTTGGGTGCAGGAAAATGCTATAAAAGTGCAGCCCATTGACAACTAAATATGTTTACATGTGCAAAATTTCTTACATCAGATAAAAAATTTGAGGGATTGGAAAATCTGAATCAGTTTACATGGAAACAAAAAATCTTATCATGACGTGCATAAACATGCACCAAGCCATATTCAGAATAATAGCATTTTGACATCCGCAGAGCGGTCTTAATTTCCCTAAAACAACTGCAGAAGTTGTACTTCACCTGTGTTTTAAGCAAACCAAAAAACTTGGGAGTGGCTACATTTTTCCTATCCATGAATTTTCTCTGCTTTGGATGCACATGATTGACTGTGTGAATGTTAACAATGCAGTCCCCATGACAGGCATGTGTATATGAAAGAACGATCCCGCTAAAAAAAGGGGGGTGATGTTTCCAATCAGAATTGTACTGTAAGCACTTTGGGTTTCTGATGAAGCACTATATTATTATTAGTATTATTGTTATTATACTGTCTTATTATTTTTGTCTTCTCTAGATGCTACATTGAAGAAGTGGCCGGCCGGCAGCCAGCCGAGGGCAGATAGGAACTTCCATCAATTTGAAGCTCACGGAGCTGAGAAGATCAGCCAGATAAATTGTATTTTTTTTCTGTTCAGTCTGTTCAGCTTATTTTTGTTCTTGTACTATTTTTCGATTGTTCGTAACTAAATAAATTATATAAATTTCTACATTTTGGGCTATTATTTATGTTGCCTAGTAGCTATGGATTTTAATAATTTTACTACTATATAGGTAAACAGGTGCATATATACGTGCATATATGTACATATATACGTGCATACATGTATCTATATAGGTACATATATGCACGTATATATGTAGACATATGTGCACATATGTGTACATATATGTCTACCTATATACGTGCATACATGTACCTATAAATGTAGACATATGCACGTATATACACTCACCGGCCACTTTATTAGGTACACCTGTCCAACTGCTCGTTAACACTTAATTTCTAAGCAGCCAATCACATGGCGGCAACTCAGTGCATTTAGGCATGTAGACATGGTCAAGACAATCTCCTGCAGTTCAAACCGAGCATCAGTATGGGGAAGAAAGTTGATTTGAGTGACTTTGAACGTGGCATGATTGTTGGTGCTAGAAGGGCTGGTCTGAGTTTTTCAGAAACTGCTAATCTACTGGGATTTTCACGCACAACCATCTCTAGGATTTACAGAGAATGGTCCGAAAAAGAAAAAACATCCAGTGAGCGGCAGTTCTGTGGGCGGAAATGCCTTGTTGATGCCAGAGGTCAGAGGAGAATGGCCAGACTGGTTCGAGCTGATAGAAGGGCAACAGTGACTGAAATAACCACTCGTTACAACCGAGGTATGCAGCAAAGCATTTGTGAAGCCACAACACGCACAACCTTGAGGCGGATGGGCTACAACAGCAGAAGACTCCACCGGGTACCACTCATCTCCACTACAAATAGGAAAAAGAGGCTACAATTTGCAAGAGCTCACCAAAATTGAACAGTTGAAGACTGGAAAAATGTTGCCTGGTCTGATGAGTCTCGATTTCTGTTGAGACATTCAGATGTTAGAGTCAGAATTTGGCGTAAACAGAATGAGAACATGGAACCATCATGCCTTGTTACCACTGTGCAGGCTGGTGGTGGTGGTGTAATGGTGTGGGGGATGTTTTCCTGGCACACTTTAGGCCCCTTAGTGCCAATTGGGCATCGTTTAAATGCCACGACCTACCTGAGCATTGTTTCTGACCATGTCCATCCCTTTATGGCCACCATGTACCCATCCTCTGATGGCTACTTCCACCATGTCACAAAGCTCTAATCATTTCAAATTGGTTTCTTGAACATGACAATGAGTTCACTGTACTAAAATGGCCTCCACAGTCACCAGATCTCAACCCAATAGAGCATCTTTGGGATGTGGTGGAACGGGAGATTCGCATCATGGATGTGCAGCCGACAAATCTGCGGCAACTGTGTGATGCCATCATGTCAATATGGACCAAAGTCCCTGAGGAATGCTTCCAGCACCTTGTTGAATCTATGCCACGAAGAATTGAGGCAGTTCTGAAGGCAAAAGGGGGTCCAACCCGTTACTAGCATGGGGTACCTAATAAAGTGGCCGGTGAGTGTATGTACACATATATGTACACATATGTGCGTATATGTCTACATATATACGTGCATATATGTACATATAATATAGGAAAACGGCCAATTTTATATGTCACATATATTAAAAACATATATCAAAACCTATATTAAAACATATATGTTTATATAGGTTCTTTCCATGTGGGGTTACAGTACATGCCTGAAATAATCACATTATTATTATTTAATTTATTTTATTTTTTATTAACAGCCAGAGTATGCACTCATTACGGCATAACGGCAACAGCTGGTCAGGAACAGGTTTAGGGTCAGAGCCAATCCCGAGGTCCGACTCTAAATCCGCCTGGCAGTCAAAATCCGGGATTGAGGCCCAGCATTCATCAAGAGATGACTAGGCTACATATAATTTCTTAAATTATATTATTGTGTTTGCATACAAATACACATTTTTTTTAAATCCTGAAAATATTGCATCTCTTTCTTTGAAAACTTTCAACAGGTCCTTTCCTAGTATGTTTAGAAAAGAAAGAACCAGCGGCAAACGTAGATTTCCTACTCCAGTGACAAAAGCTGTTGTAGCCCCCACAAAGCATACTAGTCTGCAGTTTTACCTACTCCCAGCACCAACAGATAGGACCCCACAAGGATCTCAAGAACTTAAATTGTTAATGGCAGGGTTAGGTAAGCGCCATATTTCTTTACCTGATAACAGCAACCATGCAGAGGTGAGCGTTTTTAAATACAGTATTTGTAAACAGGAACTATTTGATTCGTGCATTAATTAAATTTTGTTTCTGTAGATTACAGCATGTCTGGCAGTTGAGTATCCTAAATTGGAGAACTTAATGGGTGGATGGCTTTTATACAAGGCGTCAGGTCAGTAGTTATAATCTTTTATCCCCTTTAACTCTTTCATGTCTTTGATGTTTAACTCTTTCGTGTCTCTTAATATATCTCCATTGTTTGTATAATTTTTGTTAGCCAGTACTACTGCTGCTAGCTTAGTGCATGCACTAAAAAACATAGACAATGCACATTATTCCAAATGTTATTAATTTATTGAAGGTGGAAGTGGCCAGAGGAAATTGACAGTGATCCCACCAGAATCAGAGGGATACACAGCAAAGCTACTTAAGAGCTCATCTAATAATGGAAGGCATATGCTTTTCATTGTTCCACTTCAGGATGAAATCGATATTTCACCACTTCCTTTTGATGCCCCAGAGTTCAGCAAAATGCCAAAATCACAGTGCAAGACAAGTGGTGAAACTTTGCCATTACAAGCTCTGGCTTTGCATGTAGAGTCGTGTAGAAAGCCAGACAGTGACCAAGTAAGTTTGAAATGTTCATTAAACTGTTTTGAACTTGCATTGTTTTTGTTGTTATTATTATTTTGTTATTATTATTATTATTATTATAGAAAATATACGCTTTGATTTATTTTTTATATTTTTTTTATATTCTCTGTTTAGGAGGCAGAAGAAGAATCAAGTGATTGCTTGGAAGCAAGTACTCAGATTGTCTGTAATAGTTCTTCATTATAATTGCATTGATTAAAGGCCATTGCACACTGAGTCCGAAATTCGCATCCGAAATTTTCGCACGTTAAAAAACAAATATGACCTCACGTTATGTCAATCACGCTTGCACACTGCCTCCGAAACTTTCGTCCGTCATAAAAAAAAATGGATTGGGTTCGATTTTCTGCGTTTTTCGCATCCGTAGCAAGCAGTTTGAATGGTGTTTGAATGGTGTTTTGACACCGAATCACGAATACGAAAAAACACATACGAAAATTTCGAACTCAGTGTGCAATGGCCTTAACACCAAGTTTAAAGTAGTTATTCTTACTTTAACTGTTTTTTTATGGTTTGGTTGTGCGCTTCTGTTGAGTTGACCCTTGACCAGTTTGTTTGTTTTTATTTTAGCTTCCCCTGAAACATCTATTAAAAGTGATCCCACCAATAAAGAAGACCAATCCGCCACAAGTAAAAGGTGCCCAATATGCCAAGTCATGTTCCCTCCTGATTATATCGAGATTCATGCCAGTGCTTGTGGAGAAAGGTTTGTACTGGAGCACAAAGAGTTTGCATTCAACCAATATTGATTAGTGTTATTTCCAAAGTGGCTATATTTATGCTGGTATACATTCTGCATTTGGATATTTATTTATTTATAAATTTATTGTGTTACTGGCAGTTGTGACCTAATGGTTAGAGAGTCGGACTTGTAACCTGAGGGGCGCAGGTTTGAGACTCAGTAGCAGCAGGAAATGTAGGTGGGGGTGGGAAATGAATGAACAGCGCTCTCTTCAACTCTCATTACCCGGCCACAACTGGTAATCCCAAACTTCAGCAAGGCACCAAACCCCCCAATCACTCCCTGGGCGCCACTGCTTACTGCTCTGGGTGTGTGTGTGTTCAATACTCACTGCTGTGTGTGTGCACACATGAATGGGTGAAATGCAGAGCACAAATTCCAGATATGGGACACCATACTTGGCTAGACGTCACATCACTCTTTCACTTTCATGTTATTTAAATGGCAAAACTAGTATCTTTGCCAAAAACATGCTTCCACCAATGTATTTTTGTTGTACAAAATTGAATTACTTTTGTCTTTCAGCCAGTGTCCTGTTTTGACACTGCGGAAGAGGCTGGCCCATCAGGCATAGCTTCCCAGACTACATCCAACCAAAATCTACCATCTACTTCATCAGCATCACTGTCTGATTTTACTGATGAAGCAAAGGGTTTGTAGCATATTACATACAGTTTTCTTTCTCTATGATCTTCATAATGTTTTCATACAGGCAATCCTTGAAATCTTATGCTGGAAAGCATACAGGTCAAATGGTCTTGTGATTTTTTTATTTATTACAACCCTTCCCTAACTTTTTTTTTAAAACCACCAATTGTTTTTCTTTTTTTGTAGATTGGAAAACTGTACCAGGCCCCATTAAGGCAGCTGATTTGTACAGGCAATCTGTAAGTTCATGCATCTGAGAAACCTCTGTATATGCATCTTGACCTTACAAGCAGCATCTCCGACCAAGAAGGCTCTCTCATTGCTTTTTACAAAGCATGTCATGCGAAATGGGCATGTCCTCTGAAAACCAGGCTTGAAGGTGGTTTCCTAAATTTTTTATGTATTTTGTGCAAACAATAGCTGAAGTAAATAACAACATTCACACTTTAAAAAAAAAAAATCCTAGGGGATCCTGCTGTTGGAGAGGGTGTAAACCGTTTTTTATTTTCAAATGACTACACAGAAACTGAAGGTTTTCACCTTAACTTTGGTATGCCCTTACTTCGTCTATTTTGTCTAGTTAGCAGTGCCTAACTTTTTGTCTCCTTCAGTGTCTGACCACAAAACATCTTGTTTTCTTGTTTTTCAGGAAATGCTCATATTACAAGGATTTTTGATGGAGAGCCAGATCATCTCGTACCATCTTCATCTGCACATCTAGTGGATAGTGACCTGTTTCTGATGGCTGGTAGAATGATCGGTCACTGCTTTCTTCATGGAGGGCCACCCTTGTCAGGACTTAGCCCCCCTGTTGTCCATGTCATTTCTGGCGGCAGTGCTGAAACAGCTGTTGTACAGATTTCAGACTGTCCAGATTTTGATTTGCGTCAGAAAATTATGCTGGTATATATTCTGCATTTGGATATTTATTGTGTTACTGTTGTTATGTAGCAAATGTTAATAATTGAGAGCATTTGCTTATTAAATACTAAAAATAAATGTCAGTGTTTTGCATGTTATGTCATGTTTTGGCCTCTAGAGGTCCTCATGGTGCCTTCATGCCCTGCTTATTCAGTTTGTAATTAGTGTTATTAGGTTCACATATGTCTCATTCAGATGTGTGTATTTAAGTCACCCTGTCTCATAGCCTCTTTGCTTGGTGTTTAGTTGTTCTAAAGCCGGTTGCCCAAGTAAGTGTTCTCTAACTCAGAGACATTTGGTTTCTCTTGCCTGTGTTCCCTTCTGTTTTATTTTTTGTGGACTTTCTCCTCTGGAGTTTTTTTGCTGAATACCTGTGGGAACATTTTTTGAATATTTTTTGTGAAAAGCCCCGTTGGACTGGTTTTGTTTTTTGAGAATTTACTTTTGATGATTTTTGCTCCAGCTGTGGATTTCTGTTGCCTATATTTGTATTAAAACTAATTCTGCATCTAATCTTCTTCTGACTGCGTCTCACTGTTGGGTTCACCATCTCCAGTGGCTCAAGGATTGAGTGTCTGACTCTCACGTCAGAGACCTGAGTTCTAGTCCTGGCTCTGACAATAAATTAAACCATTTTATTAAAACATTTGTGACTTTCAGCTTGAAGGAGAATCTGAACTAACACCTGACGAGAAGGAGAGCATTAATGATTTGTGCTTTTCGTGGGACCTTCCTCCAGTGAACAATGCTAATCGACGATGGCTTTATGACAGGCTTCTACATCATGCGGTAGTATGCATTTTAACACAGGTGGAACATTTTTTACTCTTAACCCGTTCTGTAATGTTATTTAATGTGTTTTTTTTCTTACTAGGTTATCGGACATACTATGAGGCAACTCAAGCAACTTCGAAAAGGACTTAAGGAGACCATGCTGTGGCCACTACTTTTTCCCACGAGAGAAAAATTATGTGTTGACCCCAGTGGTACGTAATTTTGGTAATAATCTCAGAGAAGTGTAAATCTGAATGAAATGGAATTAGTCATCTCCAAATTACTTGATTATCGTGTGTGATTCTTGAAATGTGTTTTTGATTATAATTGACAGTAATTTTTAACTGTAGTGCGTCATAAACAGTATCAGCTGGCCTTCCATGGTGGAAAATGATGAAGACAACGATGACGAATGCTCTTTGGAGGATAAGAGCCGGATTGCTGGCTACCTTCGTCAATTCATTGAAAGTGGTAGCGTATTCATTTTAATTCAGAGTGTGTGTGTTTGTATGTATGTATATGTGTATATATAGAGACTGACGTGCACAAGACGTTTGCACAGTAGTGTGTAAATATATACACACACATGCATATAAATGTGTTATAGATATGATTAATCGATTTGACAGTGGACATATATATATATATATATAATGTGCAGTCAAATCGATTAATCATATCTAACAAAAGTTTATAACACATATATATATATATATATATATGTGTGTGTTACATATTTAGATGCATGTGCAGGATAAAAATACATCAGCCAATGTGCTATTATTCGAAATAAATAGAAACAGTTGGATATCCTTATTTTTATTTTATTTTATTTATTGTCACTATAATATATTCACAGCCTCCAGTCATGAGCTGAAGGCCCTCGTTAAGTTCTGGGTCGGTTGGGAGGTTCCCACTACTTCCCTCAAACTGGAAGTAACCAACTGTAAGCTACCTAAGGCATCCACATGCTTTGAGACCCTACGGCTTCCATCACGGTATCTTGATTACCCAGCATTCAAGAAAGAATTACTTGCCTACAGGATTTGGGCTGGTGTAATTACTGTTCTTTAACAGTATTAGGGCTATTTCTTGTTTTAGGAATTAGAATTAATGGATATAGATATCTAATCCTTGTTCATGGATAGTAAGGTGGAGTTGTTTATATAATTTTTTTATTTTTTTTTACTTGATTTATTTGAAAAAATAAAAGCACTACAGAGGTTGAAAAGAATAACCTAACTGTTCTTCACTGTCTATGCAGTGATATGTGCTATACAACCTGTTCATATAATGTAACTGTAGCTTTTGTATTTTTACATACAGTCAGTCTTTTCATTTTGTTTACTGAAAGTTCAACATGGACAAAAAGTTGAAAAGAATAACAATAAAACTGTTATTTACTGTTTGCCCAGTATGTGCTGTATGTAGTGAGTGGTTGCCAGATAGATATCTGTGCCATATGACGTTGAGGGTCCCATGGGATCAATGGCTGCCTGAAGTCCTGCTAGCTCTTCTGGGCTCAATAGGCGGTCAGCCATGGGAACAATGACTCCATGTTGTGAATCATAAGGCAGGCCACAATCTTCCCATTCAAAGTGTTGAAGGTACAGTTCCTAAAACGGATTAATCAGTATTTTATTTATAAATTGTAATATTCAATTTCTTTATATCAGCAAGTTATATAACATGGCTTAACATTTGAATAACATTAGCTGGGTCAGCAAGGTTTCCCATCTCCCAGAGCTGATTGGGTGTCATGTTCCCGTCGGTTCGAATTGGGTGGTTATCCCATCCATCATGAAATGCGTCCAGGCTAGCTTGTATTCTGGGCAAGAACACATAATGGCAACTAAAAAGATGCATTTAGGTCAAAGAACCCATCATCTTCCAGTGAGTGCAGCACACTGTAGTATATGGTGGTTACTGCACACCACACGTCTCTCCACAGCCTCTCAATCCTGAAAAAAGTGATATTTTATAAATAATTATTTTCAATGTATATATATATTTTTTAATGAAGTTAGTCTCATTCCAAACATAGTTTCATTTAGATACATTACTTTTTTTCTATGAAACCAAAGGCAAATAATTAACACTACAGGTTTTAGAGCGCCACTATCATTTTTTTTTAAAGTGATTAATGTACAATTATACATTAACTAGTCTCATTAGAATTATGTTTTTAACACCGTAATTTAATGTAAGGAAACTTGATACATCTGTCATTTAAAGCAACGGATCTTTAAACCAAATGCATCCTGTAGACAACCAAAGTCCTACAAACATATAAAGCAAAAAAAAAAAAAAATACCATAACTGTTACGTCCACGGGTGAATGAAGACGATGAAGGTAGGCGAAGATACAAATAGCAAAGGTTTATTTACAAATGAGTGGAACATTAAACAGTGGGCGTGTGCTCAAACAATAACCAGCAATGACAAGGCGTGAGAGGGGAACTTAAATACACAGATAATGGAGTCCATCCTGGAGTCCGTGACGGGAAGGTGGACCGGGTGCAACTGGACGGACTCCAGGATGGTCCAGGCGGAGCAGGACGAGCAGGTGACCGTGGTGGAGTAGGACAAAGGCGTGGCCAGGGCGGAGCAGGACGTGGGCGCGGCCACGGCGGAGCTGTTGGACCCTCGGGGTCCTGGGCGGAGCAGGCTGCGGGCGTGACCACGGCGGTGAGGGGCCTTCGGGCGGCCATGGTGGTGACGGATAGCCCCCCCAAAAAATTTTCTTGTGGAGAACTGACACCGGTTCAGGAACAGACACCGGCTCAGGAATGGGAACAGACACTGGCTCAGGAACGAGTGTGTACGCAGCCAACTCACATCCACATGGCAGTGGCCACAATGGCCAGCGTCACGGTCCATGAGGACTCAGGCATGGCGGTGGCCATAACCGCTGTGGGCTCAGGTGGTGCATACATGGCGTGAACCGTCTCTGGCTGGACAGGAGTAACGTGAACAGCCTCTTGCTCGGCAGGTTTGACGTGAACAGTCTCTGTGCTGGACGGGACCAGCGGCGAAGGAAGCTCTGGGCTGGACGGGACCAGCGGCGAAGGAAGCTCTGAGCTGGACGGGACCAGCGGCGAAGGAAGCTCTGAGCTGGACGGGACCAGCGGCGAAGGAAGCTCTGAGCTGGACGGGACCAGCGGCGAAGGAAGCTCTGAGCTGGACGGGACCAGCAGCGAAAAGGGCTTTGAGCTGGGCAGGCACAGCTGTGAAGAGGGCTTTGAGCTGGGCAGGACCAGCTGTGCAGCGGGCTTTGAGCTGGGCAGGACCAGCTGTGCAGCGGGCTCTGGCGCAGGATCAGCGGGCTCTGGCGCAGGATCAGCAACTGAATTCCGAATGATGATGGGTGGCGTGGTGAAGATGGCTGGTGTGTGTGGTTGAGTTGTGATGTCATCTTCAGCCTCACCAACGGTGAAGGCTGACCCACTCAACCACAACAGATGATCGAGGTAACTGGCGAAGGTTCCTGGAAAAGCTGCTGCTGGGGCTTGCTGGTGCAGATGACTGTCTAAGCCCAACCAGAAGACAGATTTAAAGACATCATCTGACCAGCTTACCTCAGCAGAGAGTTCCAGGAATTCGGCGACGTAATCCTCTATAGATTGTCTGTCTTGGAAAAAGGTGAGTGGAGAGTGAGCTGGGTTAACCGGGGTGAGAAGAATTCCCATGCTGACTCTTTGTTGGGCTGGTTATTCTGTTACGTCCACGGGTGAATGAAGACGATGAAGGTAGGCGAAGATACAAATAGCAAAGGTTTATTTACAAATGAGTGGAACATTAAACAGTGAGCATGTGCTCAAACAATAACCAGCAATGACAAGGCGCGAGAGGGGAACTTAAATACACAGATAATGACAAAGACAACAGGTAACGGTGATGATGATGATGATGAAGGTGATGAGGATCAGGTGCAGGTAATGATGACAGAGGATTCTGGGAACTGTAGTGAAGACACAGACAATGAAGAAGCTGGTGAATGTGACAATAACAATACATTTGAAGAGAAGAGAAAAACTACCTGCCTCTGATTGTCGACACTCTTTCGAGCAATAAAGCTGGACCTTCCTGTGCCCCGTACGGTGAACATCAGGCGTGCTATGTCGACATTCTCTACACCATGGTCACCTCTTACTCTAAAGAAGAATTGATCAACAGTAATCATGCTAAAAATAAATATAAGTGAATACATGCAGCATTTACATCAATTTCCCGTCAAAGCCTTATTTTGTATGTAGCTTCATATAAAAATAGTCAGGATAGTTAACCCAAAAATGATATTCTTTCATCATTTACTAAAACCTGCATGACTGTCTTTCTTCTGTGGAATACAAAAGAAGAATCTTGAAGAATGTCAGTAAGAAAACAGTTTAAATTCCCAGTGACTTTCTGGTCCATAAATGGGAATCGAAACTGTTTTATTGGTAACACATTGTTTATATTCCACAGAAGAAAGTAAGTCATTCAGTTTGGAAAGATATGAGGGTGAGTAAATGATGAATAAATGATAATTTGTGGGTGAACTAACCCTTTAACATCATGCATGGAGGTTTTATTTAGACACCCAATTAAAACTGAAAACTGCAGCATGTGAAATTTCAGCTCAATACTGTTTAATGCTAGAATTAGCAGGGTTAACCGGAAAACTAAACGCACTCACACAGTACACACGTGTTCCTCTGCATTCAAACTTTAAATTTTCCACTTGTGATATATATATATATATATATATATATATATATATATATATATATATATATATATATATATATATATATGCATTTCCTATATAGATGTTGCTGGAAATACTATTGTTTTAGTTGTTAAAATACCTCAGTGGAAATCCATAATGTTCAATGGACTGCTGGAAGAAGGCCAAGGCTGTAGATGACAGATTGTTATTTGCGACACCTAGGTACATGATCTATCGCAGTGGTTCTCAACCTCTCCTGCAGGGACCCCCTGACACACCATGTTTCTGTTTTAACCCTGAAATGGCACACCTGATTCAATTAATTGAAGGCTTAATGAGTAGTTGACTAATTGATCAATTAACTAATTCCTACTTCCTACTCTAATAATGACTCATTAAGCCTTTAATTAATTGAATCAGGTGTGCCATTTCAGGGTTAAAACAGAAACATGGTGTGTCAGGGGGTCCCTGCAGGAGAGGTTGAGAACCACTGATCTATCGGAAAAAAGCAGGATATAAATTAGTTTAAAAAGTTTGGTCAAGCTGACCTTGTTGACTTGTGTTTTATAAGATATTATTACCTTTCTGGAAAATCCATCAATGCCACCAAAGAAGACTATATTGTACCTAAGTATTCAATAGACAACTCATTTTAAAATTAAGCTTTTCTTTGAGACAACAAAATCACCTACATTGAAAAGTTGATTGATACAGACATAAAGATATAGAGACAGATAGACACTCACTCACCGATCAGTTTGTGGTTGGTATCAATGTGTACAAGTGATTTTGGTCCAGGAACGGAGTATTTGCGCCGCACAACACACCCTAGCATGTTCAAACGGGAAAGGATACCCATGGTGTCAACACGATGCATTGAGGCCTTAACTCTCTCCCACTGAACCCTATGTCCTCTTGCTTGCAAACTCCCCTTAACAAGCTGATAACCTGCATGTGGCATGCTTTCTCTGATTTCACCAACAAGGTTATCAAGTTCTGAGTCTGATAAAGTGCTGTATAGACCTCTAACTGTGATGTTTAAATCTGCCATTCATCTGTACACTGTCCGCCTAGACACTCCGAGAAGACTGGCAATGCATGACACAGGGAGACCTTGGCTGCGTTTACACTTGGCATTAACATGCGACCTGTATCTGTTTAGCTATGCATTTACTGAATGAGCACTGTGCCACTGTTCGTCCGACTGTTTTTACTGTACTGCTTTAATTTTTTTATTTTTATATATATATATATATATATATATATATATATATATATATATATATATATATATATATTTTTATAATCTCTGGAAGAGATTTTGAAGGAGAGCGGGAGAGCCTTCACTCCGATGAGGCGAGTGAAGGAGTAAGTTCTTTATACTGCTGAGAGTATAAGAAGTCGCTGAGAGCGTCGTTAAGGGTAACGGCAGCAGACAGCGCGCGCGAAGCGTTCTCTGTGGGGGCCCCGCTGGGCATTACTGGTGTAGCACCACCCCAGCAGAGTACGTCCCTGGGCTAGAGGTCCAGTGGCACCGTAAACCGGCTCAATCTCTTCCATCTCAGATAGGGGATCCCCGAATTTAGTGAATCAGGCAGTTAGGGATACTAACAAAAAATAGGGTTGTTTGCCAGGGATGCATCAGGAACGATTCCGAGAGAAAAATAATAGTTGTGACCCAAATTGGCGTGGACCAGTATTACTTTATTTTATTTTTTATTCTAAACTGTTTTAATTATTCTTATTTGTTTTGATTATTTTATTTTTTTCTATGTAAAGCACTTTGAATTACCATTGTGTATGAAATGTGCTCTATAAATAAATTGCCTTGCCTAGAAATTTAAGTGAAAGATTGTTATCTTGATTTATTGAAGCTGATCTGGTGGGAAACAATATGCTATATGACTTTTTCTTATTCAAAAGAAGATGGTTCGATTGGAACCAAAGTTGAATGGCATTAAAATTAGATTGCAATGAAGGTTGAATCTTAAAGACAGACATATTAGATGTGTAGATCACTGTGTCATCTGCATATAGATGGATACAACAGTCTGAGCAAATTAGAGGAAGATCATTGATAAATAAAGAAAATAGAAGAGGCCCTGAAGAAGAGCCTTGTGGGACACCTTTGTCCATTATTAAGGACTGTGATACACAACCATGAAAAGAGACACGCTGATGTCTACAATGGAGGTAAGAGTTAAACCAGAGAAGAGAATCTTTAGTAAGGCCTATCGCATATAATTTATCGAGAAGCAAATAGTGATGGACCATATCAAATGCCTTAGAGAGATCTATAAATATTGCACCTGTTGACTTGTTATTGTCTAAGGAAGATGAAACATCATTGGTAAATTTTAGAAGAGCAGTAGTTGTAGAAAAGTTTTGTCTGAAACCAGATTGATTTGGAGACAGAATAGAAAAATCATTAATATATTTGAATAATTGATTAAATATTATTTTTTCAAACACTTTTGCTATACTACTGATGATAGAGATAGGTCTATAGTTGTTAAAGGGGTCATATAATGCCATTTTGTACAAGCTAATATGATTCTTTAGGGTCTAAATTAAAAGTTTGTAATATACTTTAATTAAAAATTCTCATTAGTATTGTAAGAAAACACTTATTTTACCTGGTCAAAAACAGCTCTGTTTTCAGCACGCGGTTTCAGTGCATATGCCTTTAAATGATAATGAGCTTTGCTCACCCCGCCTCTCTGTGCTGTGCGTACACCGTTTGTAACACAATAACCATAACGCGTTGTTCATTATAGACGTGGTATTATGAATTATATTGAGAACGTCGTACATAGAAAACATGCCGTAATGTACCCTGAGTGTAAACCTTAGACGCATTCATCGTGAAGCGTGCAGCTAGCGATTTGCAAAGATTAATATAAATATTAATATAAAGGTTAAAAAAACGTTACACTCACTTCAGTTCTTCTGGAGGTTCAGCAGGAACACGAATAGTTGGTACCGATCCTTTATTCAGGTGCAGCTTCTTAGCAAATCCAGCTTTATACTGACCCTCCTTTATAAAGCAGTCTGCTGAGAAATGATTCGCGCAAACATGAAAGCATTGACGTTGCTCGTGGGGAATATTCCCTTCGAAAACAAACTCAGCCACTGCGTCTTCAGTGGTTCGGATTTAGGAACATTAAAATGACTGCTGTGTTAGTTATTACACCCAAGAACAGAACACCACAATCGCTTAGACGCCATTCTGCTCATAGACAGTGCTCCAGCATATCAACAATGACCGGGCCGGTCCGCGCGGACTATGATTGACGGGGGCGGGTCTGTGTTGAAACGCTGCTGTCAATCAACAATCGTGGGAGGGGCTTCCGAGCATGTGACGTCACAAGGTCGAACGGCTTGATTTGAGGCAGGGGATATAAGGAGATAAAAAAAAAAACACTGGATGGATTTTTATCATTTTATGATGGTTGTGTACAGGCACTGCCAGCACACATTTCAGTACAATCAACTTGTAAAAGTGCATGTACCATTATATGACCCCTTTACGATCAAGTGCATCACCACCCTTATGTATTGGTGTAACTCAGGCAGACTTCCACATTAATGGAACCACACAGGTGGATAATGATAAATTAAATAATTCTGATAAAGGAAACGCCAGTACATGAGATGCGAGCTTAATACATTTAATCTCCAGGCCATCGGGATCAGTACTATTACCTGACTTTAGTTCGGAGATTGCTTGCTGAACTTCAGTAGGATTTATTGTAGCAAATGAAAAGGAACTGTTAAGCTCCTCTGCTGGACTAGAGTAGGAGAAATTAGAAAATTGTGAACTACAAATAGAGGAAAAGTGTTGGTTGAAAGCATTGGCAACCGCAGAAGGATCACTGATAACATCATTATTGACTTTGATTTTGGTAGCAATGCTTTTAGTAGAATTTTTAAATAAAGAATTAAGGCTTTTCCAAAATTCTTAGGATTATTGAAATTATTAGACAGAAAGTTTGTATAATAATTTGATTTAGCATTTCTTGTTTTAGTCGTACACTTTTTTCTTAATTGTTTATATACAGCCCCTTCTGATGGATCCTTTGACAGGCGGTACTTTTCCCATGCCTTATCTCTTTGTTTAAAAAGATTAATTAAATCAGCATCAATCCATGGTAAATGTCGACCCTTAACCTTGACTGATATCCAAGCAGGGGTGGGACAAAGTCATTGTTATGCAAGTCACAAGTAAGTCTCAAGTCTTTGCCCTCTAGTCCCGAGTCAAGTTGAGTCAAAGATGAGGCAAGTCCCGAGTCGAGTCAAAAGTCAAAGCCAACAAGTCTCAAGTCGAGTCCAAAGTCCTACCATTTTAGTTTCGAGTCATTTCAAGTCCTCTTACCCAGAGCCAGAACACGCCGGAACATGAGCCGGAACACGCCGGAACATGTTCCGGCACCTCCGACGTTGGATCCGGAACCTTTTTTTATTGGATCCGGCACCTCCTGTGTCACTATGGAAAATTAATAATTACTGTTGGTGTAGTGTTCAATGTTGTTTGTTTCATTCTATCCTTTACTATAAATATAATGGACGGTTAACGCCAATATAGTTGCGTACACTTGCTTTATTGAACACAACCAACCCGGCCTGTACTCTCAGATGTAAACAACGGAAGTCAACAGGTGTTACACTTATTTATTTATTTCGATCTCCATTAGCTGCACACGAGCAGCTACTCTTCCTGGAGTCGATACACTGCCCCTTACCACAGAAATAAAATTTATGAATTTATGAACACTGAATACAATATCTGCTGCAACAACAACCATCCCAACATTGTTATCTGTCTTGTTAGTCTTTATTCCCCATCGAAGTTCCAAAAAAATCTTGTGTTTGCAGTTTCGATGCGTTTTTTAGGTGAATTTTCAGGGTAACACCCGTTTCACACATACTCCGTTTGCAGTGCGTATTTTTTTCCGTACCCATGTTAACAGGTTAGAGCTTTCACACTGCACGCGGATGCAGTCCGGCGATCCGTTCCAGGTGCGATGCGTATACAGCAGTGCAGAGATTGTTTCCGCACCGAGTCTATTTCTGCTGTACTGCAAACGTTGAATTAAAGTGACAGCGCACGGTTCGTGGTCAAAATGAACACAGATTGACCTGAAAATGTAGTAATTTCACCATAAATGCATTTAATTCAATAAAATGTATAGTAATCTAACCATAAATGTATTTAATTAAATACTACTTTTTTCACAGTCATCTTTTATACTTTAAGACCTGGGTTAAGCAAGGAAAACTACAATTTACCTCAACAAGGACTGTAATAGCTTTCATGGAATAAAGAACAATAAGAAAAGGCTATTACTGTTGGCTGAGCTGGATATAGCTTGACGCGTGCAGTTGATGAGTGAGAAGATGATCCAGTTTGTCCAATGAACATTTATTGTTACTTGTAAAAATGTTACACAAAAGCAAATAAAACAAAGATAGTAGTCTCTTATATGGTAACAAACGGCTTGTCACGTCATGGAACCATACGGCACACCACCACTCGTTCAAAAGACTGTTTGCCCTCTCAGCCACCCCCAGATACTGTGGCTTCCTGTCTTTAAGGCCCTTCCTCTTGGGCTCCACCTTCAGCCTCTCAACCGTCCTTTAGGTGGCGGTAGACATACCTG